AGTTTGAATCGTATCAATTTTGCTCGGGCTCCAGTCGTGGAGGTTTCTCGGCCATATAACGGTTAAGTACGGGAGGCAACTAGCAGTTAGAAAGAGCAATGTCTGGGCTACACCGTGCAAGGGGAGAGCCATCCAGCTCTATTGCATGAGGTTCGGCTCGAACTTTTTTGGACGGAGTGGGCTGCACCATCACGTTGAAGACGGACTGTGCGGACGAATTTTTCCTCTGATCGACGATTCGCTTCAGATCTCGTAGCTGCTTTGCGTACGGATTGACCGAGGAAGCAGCTTCTTCATCCAGCAGTTTCCCGACCCACAGCTCCCTCAAGCTGAGTTCACAGGTAACCCAAACCTCACTTCGTCATCAAAACTGTAGGCTCCCGCTTTGGAACATTACCGTTACGGAAGGTGGCCTGATATTTGAGGGCCTTATGTAGCTCCATTATTAGCTGCACTATTTGTGTGGAGTACATAAGGTCTATTTCTCACTTTTGGCTGAAGAGCGGAAGGGAAGACAGAGCGCTCTCATGCTGTAAGATCTCAGACCTTTATGTCAGCTTATGGCAAGTGGAACCCAGTCACGCCAACGGTGGTCAACGTCGAGACTGCTATTTCAATACGTGAGAGCAATGGTTGTGAAGACATAGGGAATTTGTGTCATGACAATCAGGCAACATATTGTAACACGCCCGTCAATGCATTTTGTTGTTATAGGGCACGTCCTGGCAATTAAGAGACGCTTGTCGTTCAACGTACACCCATTACAGTACTTGATCGCAAACATTGTTTAAGTTACAGTTTTGTGTGGAGTACATAAGGTCTATTTCTCACTTTTGGCTGAAGAGCGGAAGGGAAGACAGAGCGCTCTCATGCTGTAACATCTCAGACCTTTATGGTGAAGTATACGGGTACGGTTCAATAGTGGAATAACTCCTGTGGATGGTTCCGTTGAAGGAGCACGAGGAAGCTTTTGGATCACATGATGGTGAAAAGTCCATATTCCGTGCGTGTGTGTGTAGCTGATCCTGTACTTTTCCTCCATATCTCCAGCAATTTTCAGTTCTAAGACGAGGAGATCAAAGGAATCTTCCAGTCACATTTGGTCAACTGCTTTTGCCCAGAAGTAGTGTGATATCGCGGAGTTGTAGACTTTCACTTTCAGACTTCTGTGTACCGTTGATGTCGTCACAATCAGCTGGAGCGGTATCAGTGGAAATAGAATGAGCACACCCGTGGTGACCACTGGTTGTTTTCGAATTAACGCGACCAGTAGCCGCTTACCACTGGCAAAAAATGAGCCGAGGGCAGGCTCATTCATCCGCTTCTGACACCGCTCCGACTGATTGCGGGGTATCAACCATGTTTAACAGCCGCTGAAATGACTGCAACGGGATGCAGTGTTACTCAGAAAACTGTGTGTATATTTGGATGTGAAGAAATGATATTCAATCCATAGTATCCAGTAGTTCAGAACATGCAGAAAGAGCATTTGATCACGCAGCGTTTGAAACCTAGTTTTTATTCCAGCGAGTACCTAAAATATTCGACCTTCGAATAATACACACAAGTTTCTAATATTCTCCCATTTTTTCCATCGTTTTTGTCTTCCAGCTTCATCCAAGGCACGTATTCTGTAACTCTCAGAAACATGGTCGTACTGAGGCTTGTGAAAGTCGCAGTAATTCCGTAATTATCCAAAGCTACCTCCTTGAAAACGCACCGCAATCCTGTAATTTCATTCTGGTACACACCACAGCTTACTCGTTGGCAAATGCCAGCGCCTGTTCACAGAATTCACTTGAGAACGTTTTCTCCGTCTAGCATGTCCCACTCACACGGTGGAGTATGACGTTGTGATGAAATAGTGCAAAAAATGCTGCATTGTTGATCATATTCCGCATCCGCATCCAAGAATGCCTAAGCCATCCAAGGTTTATTTTCTTGAAAGGCCAGTGAGCCCAACCGTTCAGGTGTGGTATGGTTGGTGGCAGACCCGTACCTCTAGAAGAGAAAATGAGACACTAATTCGTACAGAGCCTATTTCTCGAGCGCCATCACGTAGAACAATCTTCATTCGAACACGCCAGCAGATGCCGAAGAAACTACGCTTGAGAAAGGGGTTAGGGGGAAAGAGCTTGATAATGTCTTTTGACAGCACGGCTTCACTAGCACCCTGAAGCCAAACTTTGAGCACCAGATTCTGCGGCTTGTGAATGAGCAGTATCATCTTCATGCGGTCATGGTGAAAGTGATCGTTTTCTGAGGACATAGACTGGGAAATGTAGAACCGTTTGATGACGAGTGTTGTGAAGTCTTTGTACAGCTTGCAGCACACGCACGCAATAATACTGAGGTAAGACTAGTCACACATATCGGTTTGCTATCGACAACCACTCATTTGTGTGAAGAGACCACAGCAGTTGGTTAAGTGCCAGTATGCCAAAACATTATCACAAAAATTGTTTGGGACTGTATGAGTTACACATTTAAGCCTTGTTAAGACTAGGAACGTACTAGTTTCGAGTCAGT